CCTTGAGAGCTGAGAATGAGGTGTTGAAAAGTCAAGATACTTCTTGGAAACCTACTCATGCCACCAACACACAAACTCAAGGGTCGTATCAATCTTACGCGATACATACTTCGGTTCCCCATGCTTCGGCAGCAGTCCCTGAGAAGTTCCCCTCGGCTTTACCAACTGTGGGTCGTCCTGCAGATATGATGACTGTTGGATCGCATCGACACCCTTTTACCCCCTCCATTATGCAACTCCCCTTAATGGATAATTGGAAAGCTTTACCTATTGATAAATACGATGGTACGACAGATCCTGATGAGCATTTGGATGTTTTTCTGACGCAGGTAACTCTGAGCACAACGGATGATGCTGCGTTGTGTAGGATCTTTCCTACGTCTCTCAAAGGCAGAGCCCTCAGTTGGTTCACTTGTCTTCCACCCAATTCAATCGACTCGTTCAACACATTGTCTTCACAATTCGCTATTCAATTTGCAACAAGTCGTCCTCATAATCTAACGTCTTTATCTTTGGTTGGTATTAGGCAGGACAAGAAGGAATCTTTGCGGGCATTTATGGATCGGTTTAATAAGGCTACTATGGAAATTCGAGATCTTAACCCCACTGTAGCATTGCATCACCTCACAACAGCCTTAAAATCGGGGCCGTTTGTCAATAGTATTTGTAAAAAGCCTCCTTTGGACATGAGTGATTTAAGGAGAAGGGCTGATAAGTATATGCAGATGGAAGAGTTGGCGGAATATCGTAATCAGGCCCGAGCTGAGTCGTCGAGCAAGGTAGAAAAGCAAGCAGAACAGTCATACAGGGGGAGAGGAAAAGAGATATCTCTTCGGGATCGGCCTAGTCGGGGTCCGAAGTACAATCAATATACTCCCCTCAACACTAGCCGTTCGGAGGTACTTGAACAAGCTTTAGCTTCAGAAGTATTGACAATTCCAAAAAGAGCAGCTACACCACCACGTGCGGATACTAGTAAATCTTGTCGGTATCATCCAATTGTGGACATTCTACTGATGAATGTGCAGCCCTTAGAGACAGAATTGAAGATTTGATTAAGCAAGGCAAGTTGCATAATTTTGAGGATCGGACAGGGTCGTCGCAAACTCGCTCATATCAACCCAGGTATCAAGATCGGCGCAGACAAGATCGTTCCGATAGAGCCCCTCGTGAAAGAAGCGGGTCACGAGAAAGAAGTAGGTCGCGAGAAAGAAAGGATACCTCGGCACCATCACATAGGAGGGTGATCAATACTATTGCAGGAGGGTTTGCTGGTGGAGGCTCAACTTCATCGGCTCAAAAGAGGCATCTTAGAGCAATTCGATCGGTTAACGTTGTTCATAGACAGTCTTCACGGAGGTTACCAGCAATAACCTTCACCGATGCTGATTTCAAGGGCATTGATCCAGAGCAAGATGACCCGATGGTTATTAGCGTGGAAATTCACAATTGCATTGTCAAGAAAACATTGGTTGATCAGGGTAGTTCAGCAGACATATTATATTGGAATACTTTCAAGCAGTTGGGCATTTCGGAAAAAGAATTGCTCCCTTATGATGACCCGTTGGTCGGTTTTGCAGGAGAAAGGGTCAGTACCCGAGGTTATATTAAACTCTTTACACGTTTTTGTTTTGACGAACAACAGAGTAGAGAGGTTCAAGTGAAGTATATCGTGGTGGAAGCTAGCACTTCATATAATATCCTCCTTGGCAGGCCGTCCTTGAATGCATTAGGGGCTATCGTTTCAACACCACATTTAGCGATGAAGTTTCCATCTGATCAAGGGACAATAATTACGATTCATGTCGATCAAAAGGCTGCTAGGGAGTGTTATTATGCTAGCTTACGGATCGCGCCGTTGGAAGAGAAAAAATCAAAATCAAAAAGGGTTCATACTGTTAACACTTCGGCACTCGGGGAGGAACCTGTTTGGGATCTTGATCCAAGAATGAACAATGAGGAACGGGTGGAGCCAGTAGAATCTAAAGTACAATTTCAAATCGGTGTACATCCTATTCAGGTTACATACATCGGTGCCGATATGACCGAAGAGAGTCGTTCTGCCCTGTGCAAGGTTATATTGAAAAATAAAGATCTTTTTGCGTGGACCCCTTCGGATATGCCTGGTGTGGATCCTGAGGTCATGTGTCATAAATTATCAGTTTGTACTGAAGCAAGACCAATTGCACAACGAAAACGAAAAATGGGAACGGAAAGGAAGCTTGCAGTGGAAACGGAGGTTGCCAAATTGCTAGATGCTGGTTTCATTCGGGAGGTTCATTATACCACTTGGTTGGCGAATGTGGTGATGGTGAAAAAGTCAAATGGGAAATGGAGAATGTGTACTGATTATACTAGCCTCAACAAGGCATGCCCTAAGGATGCCTACCCGCTCCCGAATATAGATCGGTTAGTTGATGGTGCGTCGGGTCATGGAGTTTTATCTTTCCTTGATGCTTACTCGGGGTATAACCAAATTCCCATGCATCCCCGTGACGAGGAAAAGACGGCCTTCATAACCGATTCGGCCAATTACTGCTATCAGGTAATGCCGTTTGGATTGAAAAATGCAGGGGCAACGTATCAAAGATTGATGAACAAGGTTTTTCAACGCCAAATAGGCAAGAATATGGAGGTGTACGTGGATGATATGGTCGTAAAATCTAGAAACATTGATTGGCATGTAACGGATCTTTCGGAAGTGTTCCAACAGTTGCGCAAGTATGATATGAGGCTCAATCCGGAGAAGTGCGTGTTTGGGGTTTCCGGGGGCAAATTCCTTGGCTTCATGCTTTCGGCGAGGGGTATTGAAGCTAATCCTGACAAATGTATGGCAATCGTCAACATGATAAGCCCTCAGAACCTTAAACAAGTTCAACAGCTAGCAGGTCGGCTTACAGCATTGTCACGATTCCTTCCGTGTTTGGCTGAAATAACGAAACCTATGGTGGGATTGTTGAGAAAAGCGAAAAAATTCGAATGGTCTGTTGAATGTGAAGAGGCTTTTCGGACTTTAAAGGAGCGTCTCGGTTCGCCGCCTATACTTTCTAAGCCTGATCCAGAAGTACCAATTGTGGTCTATTTGTGTGTATCAAACGATACAATAAGTACAGTTTTAATTCAAGAAAAGGAAGGACAACAACCTATTTACTTCATCAGTCGCATGCTACAAGAGGCTGAGACAAGGTACCAGCTCTTGGAAAAAGTGGCACTGGGGCTAGTCCACACCGCTCGGCCCCTCCGGCAGTATTTTCAGAGTCACCAAATCGTCGTTCGAACTGATTGCCCGATAGCTAAAGTGTTGCGTAAACCTGAGTTGGCAGGAAGAATGATGGCTTGGTCTATTGAGTTATCGGAGTTCGACATTGGTTTTCAGCCTAGAGGGCCGATCAGGTCCCAGTACTTGGTGGATTTTATCAATGAGTTGCAGCCGAGGGGTTGTTTTGTCAATGATTTGTGGACGATACACGTGGATGGTTCCTCAAACAATCAGGGTAGTGGAGCTGGTATAATTTTGGAAGGACCAACAGGATTGATTCTAGAGCAATCATTACGGTTTGCGTTTAAAGCTTCAAATAATCAGGCCGAGTATGAAGCGTTGTTGGCAGGTTTAAGGCTTGCACGAGAGATCGGAGTTAGCCGATTGGAATGCTGGACCGATTCAAAGGTTGTAGCCGAGCAGGTGAATGATAATTTTCAAGTAAAAGATGCAAACTTGTTAAAGTATTATCATTTGTTTCAAAAAATGCGTGATATGTTTGAAGAAGTTCAAGTAAAGCACACACCAAGAGAACACAATGCGAGGGCGGATCAATTGGCTCGGTTGGCAAGCAGTACCAGAAACCTGGACAGTTGAGAACCATGCTTCACTTGGATCTTGAAGCACCAAGTGTGGTAGCTGCCGAATGTTTGGTAGTGGAGGAGTCTACTCGAACATGGATCACTAAGATAGTGGAGCATCTTGAACATGGTAAATTGCCGTCTGATCCAACAGCTGCTAAAAAGCTCCGAACGCAGGCTGCCAGATATATTGTGGTTGGAGGAGAGCTATATAGAAGAGGATTCTCGGTTCCGTTGCTGAAATGCGTTGATAAAGAGCAAGCTAATTATATATTGAGAGAGATGCATGAAGGGATATGCGGTTTCCACTCAGGAGGACGAACTTTAGCCACTAAGGTGCTTCGGGCAGGATACTATTGGCCTACTCTCAGGGAAGATTGTGTAAAGTTCGTAAAGCATTATGTATCATGCCAACGGCACGGTAACCTTATTCACGCTTCAGCTGAAGAACTTCATGGTATTAGTTCACCCTGGCCGTTTGCAATGTGGGGTATGGATATTCTTGGACCCTTCCCGATTGCCAAGGGTCAGTGCAAATTTTTGCTAGTTGCTGTAGATTATTTCACGAAATGGGTCGAGGCCGAGCCACTTGCCAGTATCACAACTGCCAATGTTCAAAAGTTTTTATGGAAAAACATCATTACTCGCTTCGGCATTCCATATGCACTTGTAACTGATAATGGTTTGCAATTCACCGATCAAAAACTTAATCGGTTCATTCAGGATCTCGGCATCAAGCACAGGTTTACATCGGTAGAACACCCGCAAGCTAATGGGCAGGCCGAAGCAGCAAACAAAGTAATACTTGGTGAATTGAAGAAAAGATTGGGAGACGCTAAGGGAGCTTGGGCGGAAGAGTTATTAGAGGTTTTATGGGCTTATCGGTGCACGCCTCAGTCCACGACTAAAGAAACACCTTTTCGGCTAACATATGGCACTGATGCCATGATACCTGTTGAGGTAGGAGAACCATCTTTTCGGCGACAATATTTTGATGAAAATACCAATGATATATCTCTCCGAGCTGAGGTTGACATGGTCGATGAAGTACGTGTCAGAACAGAGATTATAGCTGAAGCTTGCAAACAGAGGATGGCTCGTAGGTTTAATTCCAACCTTATTAAAAGAAGTTTCAAGGAGGGCGACTTAGTGTGGAGAGTGCAAGGATCGGCAAGGCGTAATTCGAAAGAAGGCAAGTTGGCTGCTAATTGGGATGGCCCATTTCGGGTCCGACATAGTTTGGAAAACGGTGCATACAAATTGGAAGAACTCTCAGGCAAGGTCATTCCCAGAACTTGGAACGCTTCTCATTTGAAGACATATTATAGCTAGTATACATTGTAAAAAGACCTTGTGTAAACAGAGAGTGTACTCTTTTCCTTGATCGGTCTTTTCTCCCCTTGTAAAAAAGTGAAAAGGGATTTTGGCCGACAAGGTTTTTAACGAGGCACCCATTAATGAAATTACTTCAGTTCTTCCATTCTATTGTGTTAGTTTGTCAATTCTTAACAGCTGCTCAAATCTCGCAACAGGCTTCCCTCCCGAGTTGTTCAACTCGGCTAAGGACGTGCCTTAAAAATCTCGCAACAGACTTCCCTCCCGAGTTGTTCAAACTCGGCTAAGGACGTGCCTTAAAAATCTCGCAACAGGCTTCCCTCCCGAGTTGTTCAAACTCGGCTAAGGACGTGCCTTAAAAATCTCGCAACAGACTTCCCTCCCGAGTTGTTCAAACTCGGCTAAGGACGTGCCTTAAAAATCTCGCAACAGGCTTCCCTCCCGAGTTGTTCAAACTCGGCTAAGGACGTGCCTTAAAAATCTCGCAACAGGCTTCCCTCCCGAGTTGATCAACTCGGCTAAGGATGTGCCTTAAAAATCTCGCAACAGGCTTCCCTCCCGAGTTGTTCAACTAGGCTAAGGACGTGCCTTAAAAAATCTTACAAAAAAGTACAAATCCGAAGCAAACCTGTTCGGATTTGTCACAAAAGAGTACAAATCCGAAGCAAACCTGTTCGGTCTTGTCAAAAAAGAGTACAAATCCGAAACAAGTCTGTTCGGTTTTGTCAAAAAAGAGTACAAATCCGAAGCAAACTTGTTCGGATTTGTCAAAAAAGAGTACAAATCCGAAGCAAACCTGTTCGGATTTGTCAAAGAAGAGCACAAATCCGAAACAAGTCTGTTCAGTTTTGTCAAACCAGGGTACAAATCCGAAGCAAACCTGTTCGGTCTTATCAAAAAAGGATACAAACCCGAAACAAGTCTGTTCGGTTTTTTCAAAAAAGAGCACAAATCTGAAACAAGTCTGTTCGGTTTTGTCAAACCAGGGTACAAATCCGAAGCAAACTTGTTCGGTCTTATCAAAAAAGAATACAAACCCGAAACAAGTCTGTTCAGTTTTTTCAAAAAAGAGTACAAATCCGAAGCAAACCTGTTCGGTTTTATCAAAAGAGTACAAATCCGAAGCAAACCTATTCGGATTTGTCACAAAAGAGTACATTCAAGCCAAAAGTGAACACTGTTAAGACAGACGAAGCAATCTCCAGTAAGGTTTTAAATGAGACAAATATAATGTATATTGTTATTTCTAACAAGTGTGTCAGTGTTTCAGATAAAGACATAAGTACAGGCAAGCTGGAGAATAGAGAATATACATGTATTACCGTCTACACCAGAACCATGAGATATGAGCTAAGCACCGGATAAAGGCTGACCAAAAGAAGGAAATACATCAGATGAAGACACCCACAAACACAGACACAAAGGAATTGAAATAAAGAATAGAGCACAAGCAACCAAGATAAAAGGGAAAAACGACAAGACATCAGATGAAGAGATCAAGCAAAATCAAGTCTCTGATTCTTTAGGAAAATAATGAAGCCTCAGACGATACAAGAACAAGTCTAATAAAGAGCAAAATGAAGCTCAAAGGCCAAAGATCAAATATCAGATGTTGAATAAATAGGAGACAAAGAAATGGTTCAGAGATAGAGACTCAAGTTTTAGACGCAAATGAAGCATGATGAATCACACCAAAGAAAATGTTTATGGAATTTGAATTTTTTTGAAAACAAAGTGACATCAAAGAAACCTAACTGTGGGAGAATCACTAATGATCTAGTAGCAATTCATGAACTCAAATTTGCAAAAGTGAAAAGCACCAAAGCACATTGTTTATTTGGTCAAACAAATTTAGTACCGAACATCAATCAAAATTTTTGGATCACAAGCATAGCTAAGAATTTTTAGACATGTAAAAGACTATACATGACTCTGAGACATAACCGGATGGATTCAAAAATTCAAAGACTCAAAACATAACATATGACCGAATACAAATAAAATTCAATAAGACTCAAACAAATCAAAAATGCACAAAGTAGAGTCCTAAAGCACTTTGTGAAGCATGATTCATAGGGATCAAATTTCAAGAACAAAAAAATATGAATCACTTAACAAGCAATGAAACTAGATCTATCAATTGATGTAGAAAATTCAGATCTAGGAAGCAACAAGACTCTTGACAAGTAAAGAGAAAGATGTAGGATCAAGAAAGGACAAATACATCAAAAGACAAGGGACTTATCTCTTGAAACCATGCTCTAGATACCAACTGACGAGGTTCCAGTTTCTTGGAACTTCAAGGATTACACTTCAACCTCTTCTTGCAAGTTCCTTTAGGAGATTCAAGGAGAGAATCCGGAGCTTGAAGAGGCAATGCTGCTTCCAAGATGTGCTAACCTTCTCAGTTTAGAAGGTGAACTAGTCTAAGGTTCCAAAGAAGAAGGCTCAAGGAGGCTATGAGGAGACAAATCTCCTTAGAGACTTTTGGAGAGAGAATTGGAAATCTATGCAAAAATTAATTCTCATTCAAGCCAAAAGTGAACACTGTTAAGACAGACGAAGCAATCTCCAGTAAGGTTTTAAATGAGACAAATATAATGTATATTGTTATTTCTAACAAGTGTGTCAGTGTTTCAGATAAAGACATAAGTACAGGCAAGCTGGAGAATAGAGAATATACATGTATTACCGTCTACACCAGAACCATGAGATATGAGCTAAGCACCGGATAAAGGCTGACCAAAAGAAGGAAATACATCAGATGAAGACACCCACAAACACAGACACAAAGGAATTGAAATAAAGAATAGAGCACAAGCAACCAAGATAAAAGGGAAAAACGACAAGACATCAGATGAAGAGATCAAGCAAAATCAAGTCTCTGATTCTTTAGGAAAATAATGAAGCCTCAGACGATACAAGAACAAGTCTAATAAAGAGCAAAATGAAGCTCAAAGGCCAAAGATCAAATATCAGATGTTGAATAAATAGGAGACAAAGAAATGGTTCAGAGATAGAGACTCAAGTTTTAGACGCAAATGAAGCATGATGAAAAGCGTCCAGAATTCACTAGTCACAATGAGGAAGATCATATATCATGTCCATTCATAAGAAAAACGCACGGGGTTATTAAAGATAAAAATACAAGAGCGCAAATTCATAAGTCAAAGTTGCGTGTGTCAAAGCAAGTACAAGCACTCTTCAAAGAAAGATAAAGATTGGAAGTTGACGAGTTGCTACCCGTTTTGTTTTTTCTTCGACTTCTTGACTTCCACTAGTAGAGGTTTCTTCTAAAAAATCGTCACCTTCATCTGGCCTTTCGGCATCAATAGGGGACTGAGACAATTTGGAGTGACTTGATGTACTGGACGAGGACCCCTCGGAGGACGATGACCGAGAGCTGTCAGCCGAAGAACTTGAAGAAGTATCAACCATGGTAATAGAAACTTACCAATTTCTTCACAAAAGCACAATGGATAATCGGATCGGCCTCTAAGCGCTCGGACTAGCACAAGTCGGATTAGAATAATACATGCGAATGGCCCTACCATCTAACCTATTTATAGAATCGAAGAGAAGCGGGAAAATTTAAAGTGTTGAAAAATTGTAACCGTTGGATTTCCGAGATCCAACGGTTATAAACGCGCGCCTCTTCATCTTACCCTAACCGCCATCTCCAATTTACCCTTAAAGAAAGTTTCGCCTTTCTTCAAGGCTGGGGGGCAGTGTACGGGTAGGGGCGTTCAGCCACCCTCTTATCGGCCGCCGAATGGCCGAACTAGGTGGTCGATTGCCAATCGGTCACCTGGATCGGCTTATCTTTATTAATTATCTTTAATAAATGATTAAGGGTTAATTAGCTGATTAAGAAGTATTACCTAATACGGTAAGTATGTTACAGGGCCCATAAGGTCCAGGGTCTACGATTGTCAGTATAAATAGCTCAGGTCAAAAGGTAACGTCACTGTTCATTAATTACTCTAGATTTTCGTGTTTGTGCTGACTTGAGCATCGGAGTGCCTTTTGCAGGTACAAACCCATCTACTCACGTTGGATCGGAATACTCGTTCAGAACACTCGTTCGGCCTTCAGAATACAAGAAGATCATTGGTGTATCCTTATACAGGTACAAAACTTTTATAACATATTCACCGTATATTAATGACCATTGACCAACAGGATTGGGTTTTAAGAAGAAAAAAATTAAAATTAAAATATCATAAAAGACAAGTGCTATGGTGTTTTTTGAAAT